AGATGAAAGCCGACCTGAACCCTGCATGTAATAGTTGTAAACAAACTCCAGCTACACTCTTGCATACATTCTGGACCTGTCATAAACTGCAGATCTTTTGGCAATCTATTTTTAACACCTTCTCTGGGATATGTGGAAAAATAGTGCACCCACCACCATTCATATCACTGTTTGGGGTTGTCCCTGTGGATACGTCCTTCAACAAGTACGAGAAGGATGTGATTGCTTTTGGCTCTCTTCTGGCCAGGATACTTGTTTTATGCAGTTGGAAGGACCCACACCCCCCAGCATATGATGGTTAAGAGAAGTCATGTATTATATTCATTTGGAAAAAATCTAATATACCCTGAAGGGTTCTGCCACAAGATTTTGGGACACATGGCAACCTTTTCTGTCTGTTGAAAACATGTCAATGCCTGTTTAATTTAATTTATTTAAGTATGTGTGATTGATCCAGTAAGGGAGGTGAGGGGTGGGAGAGAATTTTGTTCTATGTTCTTGTTCCTTTATTTTCTCTTTTGTGTGTGTGTTCAAGAAAACAAAAAATAAATAAAAAGACTTTGATTAAAACCCAGTCTGATATTGCATGCTACAACTGCCTGCCATATAGATGCCTTACTTCCATGACAAAATCCAGACCATCCATCTCTCTTGCTGGTCCAGTCTTTGAAATCCTTTCTGATCACATCAGGACTTCCTTCATTCTGGTTCCATTTGGAGCTATGAATATCCACTGGTTACTTACCTGTGAAATGAAGAGGAACTACTTTGGGTAACACTTTACAATAAGGTACCCAAAATTTGTATCTCGATTCAACGGTGCCAACTGGTGGCACCTTCCTGCTGTGGATACCTTCATTATGACACCTGCCTGACCTGACCTTTGTTTGTTTCTGCTCTGGATCTATCTCTCTGCCTGCTGGATGTTTTCCACTCTGTTCTTCTAAGGATGACACATGACTGTGACTGATTGGAACATTTTCAAACACTAAGTATTCTCTTTGCATTAGGAGGTGTTATTACTTGTAGACACCAACTCACTCAGTTCTTCAAGCTAGAATCTGTAATGGTGGGTGTCATGGCTCACAACACTGAAGTTTCCTTTGTACGACTCTTGAAATAAATTTGTTGTGACTAAATGACCTGGAATTTAGTGTGGGATTTTGTTTCAAGAAAAAGTTATCTTCTGACCATGACCTCTAAACCAGAACCACCCTGAACTGTTTCTCAACAGTTACTTTTGACATGAATAATGTCCTATGTTTTCTGAACTCTGAACATTCACTAGAACTCTTATTCAGATACGATTTTGTTCAAAGTAAAAACATTTTAATTAGATTGTTTGTTTTATCTGATCATGACATGTTTAAAACATTAATAATATTGATTTATTATGGCTTATGAATTATGTTTTAACATATTTTCTCTGTTTTGTTTCAGAAAAGACTCAACTTTGAATAGCACCATAATTGTGTGACAAGAGTTTTATCAGCTGAAGTCACGTCTTGATGAAAGACACATCACCTTCTGACACCCAGAGACACATGTCTCCAGTCCATCACAGGGATGCATAGAGACAAATGAGGAAAAACAACCATTCACTCTTTCACTCTCACCTAGGGACAATTTAGAGTTACCAATCAGTCTAACATGCATGTTTTTGGTCTGTGGGAGGAAACAAGAGTACCCGGAGAAAATCCACACAGCACGGAGAGAACATGCAAACTCCACCCAGAAAGGTCCCCGGCTGGGATTTGAACCGATGACCTTCTCGCTGAGAGGAGGCAGCTCTAACAACTAAGACACAGTGCTGAAATATTATTCATATTATATATTTTTTTTATTATAAAAATATGGGTAACACTTTACGATAAGGTACACAAATTTTGCTTAACTACTAGGGAATGCCTAAAGAACAAATCAGTAGATAATGGATAGTTAACCAGTACTTACTGGGGAACACACAGCCAAGCCTTATTAGGGGACTATTGGTTAGTTTCCTTGTAAATGAAGAGTAACTAGTCAAGAACTAATGGGTAGTTACCAAGGGGGCAGCATGGTGGCGCAACTGGTAGAGCTGCTGCTTCTCAGCGAGCAGGTCCTTGGTGCAAACCCCGGTCCAGGGGCCTTTATGGGTGGAGTTTGCATGTTCTCTCCGTGCATGCGTGGGTTTTCTCCAGGTGCTCCGGTTTCCTCCCACAGACCAAAAACATGCATGTTAGGCTGATTGGTAACTCTAAATTGTCCCTAGGTGTGAGTGAGAAAGTGAATGGTTGTTTGTCTCGTTTGTCTCTATGTGTCCCTGTGATGGACTGGAGACCCGTCCAGGGTGTACCCCGCCCCTCGCACAGGGATTGCTGGACATGGGCACCGGTGACCCCCGTGACCCAAAATGGAATAAACGGGTAAAGATAAAGGATGGATGGGTAGTTACCAAGGACACAAAAGAGGAACAAATCAGAAGCTAGTTAACCAGTACTTGCTGGGGAACACACAGCCAAATCTTATTAGGGGACTACTGGTTTGTTACCACAGAAACAGAGGAGAAATTCTCCATGTAGGTTCTGAATAAACCCTGCACCAGTGAGGCCACAGCTCGTAATTGTCAAAAACCTGTTTTCCAGTGATTACTGATTTCATTACCCATTAGCTCCTGATTCGTTCCTCTTTAATTTCCTTGGTAACTACCCATTAGTTCTTGATTAGTTCCTCTTTGTTTATAAGGTAACTAACCAATAGTCCCCTAATAAGGCTTGGCTGTGTGTCCCCAGTAAGTACTGGTTAACTACTCATTAGCTCCTGATTTGTTTCTCTTTGGTTTTCATGTTAACTATCCGTTAGTTCCTGAGTAGTTCCTCTTCGTTTCACAGTTAAGTAATCAGTAGTCCCCTAATAAGTCTTGGCTGTGCGTTCCCCAGTAAGTACTGGTTAACTACCTATTAACACCTGATTTGTTCCTGATTTGTTCCTGAGGCGTTCCCTAATAGTTAATCAAATTTTGTTTACCTTATTGTAAAGTGTTAACAAAAGATGAATACGGTAATTTACCTTTTATTGACCTGGTGCCCCTTTTTTATGACAGCAAATAAATGTTGTGAGGAAAAAGCATCACCCTTCTTTGTCCCTCATTCACATCCTACATCATTGACTCTCAGGTATTATCACACCAAAACCTGCGCAATGTTGGCAAGGCTGACTTGTGTTAGAGCCACTTTATTGTTTGCTAAGGTTGATTAGCTCTGACAACCATCTTGAACTGAGTTGACTCCAAAAGTTCATCATTTATAAACCTACTGTATATGTTGAACCTATAGATATAAATACATTTTGAATCTTCATTTCTGAGTTTTATAATATTTTCTAAAGCAGAAACATTAGTGTCCTTTTTCACGTTTCCGCAACAAGTGATGAACAAATAAAGCATCATTGTTTGTAAATGAATCTCTGCAGCTTTACTTCATCTGTAACGCACCATGAAATGTAAGCAAACCTTTATAAAAAATTATCATGTTGTATCAAAAGACAAGTGGAGGGTGATTTATTTTTGTACCACAGAAGTGACAGTGTGTTGTTCTACTTTCGTGTCACACATTCTAAAATTATTTTGGTACTTTTATTTGATCCATATCTTGATTGGTTCATAGAGCTGTTACGTTTTCCATGAGCTAAGACTTTTCTCAGCACCGTCCTGCAAAGACTGCTCCTGTTTTCTAACCTGGATGCCACTATCACCACTGTCTGAAGGGCAATAGTTCACTCTAACATTTCCTGGCAAAAAAACGTGTGAAGTGGAGCGAACAGCGCCACAGTCTGCAAGGCAAACAGCTCTCAACCTGTTGACCATGTCCAGGCTCTTGGAGCAGCTCGCTCAGTCATTGGAGGTCAGATGTGTTCAATTGCCTTCACACTGTGAGCGCGTGTCAACACTGAGACTCCTTTCCATCCTTTCCATGGTTACTGCGCAGACCACTGCTGAAGAACATCCATTCAAACAAAAAATTCTGCCACTTTGAATTTTCTTCTGGCATTTTTAGTACCAAGGAACAAATAATTTTAGACAACTGTTTGAATCTACATTTCAGATGACTTAGAAGTAGCTCTTACAGTTGTCCTCCTTGTGCAAAGAACAAGTTGTCTTCTATCAATGTGCAGGTCAGAGTCGGCTCCAGCAGCACAGACATGGTGGACAATTGTCCGTGATGTGGGCTTCTTGGCTTTGACGAACGAACTCAGAAAGAACTCTTGTCCTGCCATTGAATCTGCAATCTGCACTCTGCTCTGGTTCCTGAAGCCAGCTGCCAAATTCTCACTGAGATCTTCAGCTGGTTTGAACTGGTTGTGACAGAAGTACTCCCCACTGTAAACTTTGTTTTTAAGTGACAATCTTTTCCTCCAACACTCATCTTGTTTCTGACGTTACAGTGGAGATACCAGGCTGTTGTGTGAGTGCTGTGCTATTGATTTGGTTCTGCTTGTGGGTCCAATAGCTCAAGGTACATTGAGCAATACCCGTATTCCATTAGGAGGGCTTATCCCCCCTCCACCCAGCACTCTCTACCCTTCATTGACCAATCAGCACCCAGGCTTTTAGCAACGCTCCTGTGGGCTGTACTGGGTAAACAGTGGCTTCCTCAGTGTTTGTCACTGAACGTTACCTAACCATTTATCAGCGGGACATCTGGACAGCTGAGCTCTGAGGTCTGCATCAGGACTCTTCCAAACAACATCCACCTCAAGCTTATTTTGTCTCTGCCTTTCTGTACAACTCAAAGAGGAGTACTTATGGTGCTAAGCACAGTAGTAAACTCTCCCCACCCCCATGCCTGCCTACCTTCTTGCTGTGGGGACGTCACCCCTCGGCTGTGGTAGACTGTATTCTAGTTTTGGGGGCAAGGCGAGGGCAGACCCTATGAAGAAACACTTGGTGTAGAGGGAGGAGTGACTGCTCCGTGCAGTTAATGTGTTCAACGCAGTGCGAAGATCTAAGACTTGTCAGATCAGGACAAGTTGTCTGACTTGTGCATGTGCTTGGTGTCCTATTACCCACCTGGACAAACAGCTTCTCTTCTTTTCAAACATCTTGGAGGTGTCATTTCCAGACAGCCTGTTTCTAAGGTAGGTGCATGCTTCTAATGTAACACAACTGATGTAACACATCTGCTAATAATGTATTTGTCCTGTTACATACAATTTATAGCTAAATTTGACTTTGTTCTAAAGGAAAATACATTTTCTGACAAATTCAGGATTGTATTTTTTCTTTGCAAAGCTGATTTCTGCTTTTGATATGGTCATTTTTAGATTTTTTTTTTTTTTGTATTTAAATCCATATTGTGATGTCAATGAGCTGTATCAACCAAAATTAATTTTCTGTTGATGAAGAAATCTACAGAACAACAGAAGTCAGTGTTCATTTGGATGGTTGATTTAATTTATGGTCAACATGTTTAAATAACTTAGCATATTACAAAGTATTCAGCAAAAGGCAGAAATAATTTTATCTTCTTTATCAAATAGTGCTAACCATCAATTATAAAACGATAGTGTTCATTCTATAAGACGGTGAAAACAAAGCGGTAGTTTTCACTTGAATTGGAGCAGTTTGAATGTTATTGTTCATGGATGCAGCTCTTTGAATTCTCGATGTGCACCATGACCACAAACAATAGTTTTAATTGGACCTGCAGTCTCTGAACTTTACTAACACTGCAGCTCTTGGCAGCAGTCCTGAACGCACGTCATAGTTTGTAGGCTTTTCTTTTCACATGTTATGAAACTGACGTTTCAGCACGTTTTATCAGAACAAGTTAGAAAGGCTCAATAATGCAGAGCAGAAACAGATTCAACCTTTGAAGGGAACTTTGACTCGTTCTTAAAATGTGCTGGATTGTCGTTTTCTCTTCTTGGGATTTGTACTCTGACTTCAGGATATGGATCCAGACCTTGGGCACATTTGATGACATACTTCACAAATCTTTAATCTGCAAACTATTTCACAAAGCTCAACCAATCAAATTCTCCTTCACGCCCTGCAGCACCAGCTCAAATTAATATTTGTTTCTCTCTGTTTCCCCGTCAGCAAGTGAAAACATGTTAAAGCAGATTCTGTCATTTGGGCACTCCTTGGTGCGCAGGAAAGTGGTCGACCTGAACAGCCTGGAGGACTCCAAGTTGTGCCGCTGCCTGGGAACCGTCGACCTCATTGCCCTGGGGGTGGGCAGCACTCTAGGTGCTGGTGTCTATGTTTTAGCCGGAGAGGTGGCCAAGGCCAACTCTGGCCCAAGCATTGTCATATCCTTCCTGATTGCTGCTCTGGCCTCTGTCATGGCCGGACTATGTTACGCTGAGTTTGGGGCCCGTGTACCCAAGACTGGCTCTGCGTACCTGTACAGTTACGTGACTGTCGGGGAGATCTGGGCCTTCATTACCGGCTGGAACCTCATCCTCTCATATGTAATTGGTGAGCTACTGCCAATTTTTAAATGTTTTTTAAATTAAATAATAATAAGAAAAAAAACTGGTTCTTCATGAAGTCTGTTTGTTCCGTTGCCAACAGGTACATCGTCAGTTGCCAGAGCATGGAGTGGCACGTTTGATGAAATGATTGGAGGACACATCGAAGTATTTTGTAGGACCTACTTCAGTATGAACGCTCCTGGCTTGGCTCCGTACCCCGACTTCTTTGCTGTGTGCCTGATTCTACTGCTGTCTGGTAAGATTGGTCATTATGTTCCCTAAATGTCCTTTAAACATGCTCAGACAGTGGCTTCAGTGAAAGAAGACAAACTAAAATCAGATCAAATCAACTTGTGATCCGTTGCATGCATAAACCAAAAACGCCTTGGCAGAACTTTTATAAATACTCAAGGGTTCAAGATTACATATAATCTGCAAGATTGTGTGAGTTCATTGAGTCCTCACAAACACCTCCAATCATTACCAATAAATAAACAGTTGCAGCTGAAAAATGTTCAGTTTATCAGTTTCCTGTCAAATTCAGTCCATACAGCCGCTTCAGTGAACTCTCATCAGTCTATTCATCTGATGGGGAGAGCTTCACGAATCAGAGACGTTCCTCTTTAGATCAAACTCTGTCACAGTTTGATTTGTTGGTCTGCCAATAACCCCAGAACAATCCATGAGGTTGTGTGCTGATGAAAATTTACAGTATACAGCAGCGATCAGAAATTGTTGTAAATTATTTCCACTCTGCAAAGAGAACGGTCCAAAAAATTATAATTTCTGATTGCTGCTGTATATTGTAGATCTTCATCACCACACAACCAACTTCAATGACTTCTAAAAACAAGATTTTGGTGTCTGAGTTTGAATTCCTTGTGGATTTTCTTTAATCCACACAGTTTTAAAATGATTCATACGGAGTGAAATATATACATACAATCTCTACTATATTTGGCTTATTGTACCTTACAAAGTTGTACCTCAACAAAATGTTGTAGCTGTCAAATTTCTAGCTCAGTTATGGCTGAATATTTGAACACTTTATGGAAAAACATTGTATTTAAAGTGTTTGATTTACTTACACACAAATTTGAAACAGTCACAAAATGTTGTGCATGGCTGATGGGGGCTTTGGGAAGTCCATGTCAAATCCTTTGTTCATTTGTTTGATCTAACCAGGAACCAGTGGGGCAGCTGTGGCTGAGTGGTTAGAGTAGTTGTCTTCCACTGCGAGAGTTGGGGTTTCAAATCCAACAGCAGTCACATGCCAAGTGTTCTTGGGCAAGACACTGAACCCCCCATTGCCTCCGATGTGTGTCTCATTGGTGTATGAATATGATCCAAAGCTGTGATTAGTCTCTTTAGAATGATTTGTTCCACTAGCTTTGTATAGATCTAGTAGAGTGCTGTATGAATGTGTAAATGAGGACAAAAATTGTAGTGTAAAGCACTTTGAGTGTCTTGATAAGTTAGAAAGGCGCTATATAAGTACAGTCCATTTACCATTTACTAGTTCCTATGTGTTCGGGATCATTGTCTTGTTGAGAACCCAACTGTGTCTGCTGTTGATTTGAGCTGAAATTTGAGAAGTTGGCAGTAAACCTTCATCATTCCATCCACCTTGAGCAAGGCACACAATACTACCAGCATGAGGCTTGGTAGCATTGAGGTTATGTGTTCTCAGATTTGACAACCTCATCATGATTTCTTCAAACATACTTACAGTGGTGATTGAAAGTTTGTGAACTCTTAAAAATTTTCTATATTTCTGCTTAAATATGACCTAAAACATAATCAGATTTTCACACAGTCTTAAAAGTAGATAAAGAGAATCCAGTTAAACAAATGAGACAAAATATTATCTGCCCATCAAACGTTACTCCAAAAGTAGATGGACCTGTCCATGTGAGCAACTGCAAGCTTCAGGTGAGCTTGAAGGGTTTATTTTGGAGCAGGAGCTTGTTTCTTGGCTGGCAACATCACCGTCAACAGACTTATTAAACTGTCTTCACTGTGGACAGAGACACTGGTGGACAGAGACACTGGTGGACACCAGTTTTCAGCTTCACTGTGGACAGAGACACTTGTGAACACCTGTTTTCAGCTTCACTGCGGACAGAGACACTTGTGAACACCTGTTTTCAGCTTCACTGTGGACAGAGACACTTGTGAACACCAGTTTTCAGTTTCACTGTGGACAGAGACACTGGTGGACACCAGTTTTCAGTTTCACTGTGGACAGAGACACTTGTGAACACCTGTTTTCAGCTTCACTGTGGACAGAGACATTTGTGAACACCTGTTTTCAGCTTCACTGCGGACAGAGACACTTGTGAACACCTGTTTTCAGCTTCACTGTGGACAGAGACACTTGTGAACACCTGTTTTCAGCTTCACTGTAGACAGAGACACTTGTGAACACCTGTTTTCAGCTTCACTGTGGACAGAGACACTTGTGAACACCAGTTTTCAGTTTTACTGCAAACAGAGACACTTGTGAACACCTGTTTTCAGCTTCACTGTGGACAGAGACACTTGTGAACACCAGTTTTCAGTTTCACTGTAGACAGAGACACTGGTGGACACCAGTTTTCAGTTTCACTGTGGACAGAGACACTGGCGGACACAAGTTTTCAGCTTCACTGTGGACAGAGACACCGGTGGACCTTAGTGTTCAGATTCACTGTGGACAGAGACACTTGTGAACACCTGTTTTCAGCTTCACTGCAGACAGAGACACTTGTGAACACCTGCTTTCAGCTTCACTGCAGACAGAGACACTTGTGAACACCTGTTTTCAGCTTCACTGTAGACAGAGACACTTGTGAACACCTGTTTTCAGCTTCACTGCAGACAGAGACACTTGTGAACATCTGTTTTCAGCTTCACTGTGGACAGAGACACTTGTGAACACCTGTTTTCAGCTTCACTGCGGACAGAGACACTTGTGAACACCTGTTTTCAGCTTCACTGTGGACAGAGACACTTGTGAACACCAGTTTTCAGCTTCACTGTGGACAGAGACACTTGTGAACACCAGTTTTCAGTGTCACTGTAGACAGAGACACTGGTGGACTCCAGTTTTCAGTTTCACTGTGGACAGAAACACTGGTAGACACAAGTTTTCAGCTTCACTGTGGACAGAGACACTGGTGGACACCAATTTTATCTTCATTGTGGACAGAGACACCGGTGGACCTTAGTGTTCAGATTCACTGTGGACAGAGACACTTGTGAACACCTGTTTTCAGCTTCACTGCAGACAGAGACACTTGTGAACACCTGTTTTCAGCTTCACTGTGGACAGAGACACTGGTGGACACCAGTGTTCAGTTTCACTGTGGACAGAGACACTGGTGGACACCTGTTTTCAGTTCATGACAGGTTTGAGCCTCTGTGGTTCTCAGGTTCTCCCTGAACATCCTGAATGTTCCAAACTTTGGAGTAGTGCTCACACACCTGAAGAGCTTGTACTTGAGTACAGCAGTTCATCTGATGATTTTGGAATCTGAATTTGCTTAGAAATGGTTACAAAAGACTTTTCCCAGATTTTGAAAATGCACCATTCTAAGTTATTTAGACTCCCATTGTTCTGAGTCTTTCTCATCCCAGTAATCTCTGTCCAGCAAGACATTTTTTAATGTTGGCAAAGGGAAACTTTCAGCTGCAATAAATGCTGATTACTAATGAGGAGTTTTAGGCCTTATTCAGATAAGACATTGAAGAACTTCAGAAACCCTCATTAAAAGATTTAGGTGATAAATTCTGCATCAACATTTATTCAGTACTTCTCTGTTTAGATCTACTGGACCTGAACTAATGAGGTTCTGAACCATGTTGGCATCCCAGACCAGCTCTGTTAAAACTTGGTTTCACAATGAAAGGATCCAAACTGACCAAAGTAAACTAGAAGAATGGTCCGTGTTACACGGTCTATGTTGTTTGTTACTAACATTATCAGTGTTTAGCGTATAGCTTAGATCTTTTAGTATACCATTTAGCGTTCGTTTAGTGTATATCAGTGTATATCTTAGATCCGTATATAGCGTACTGTTTCTTTTTATACTTTATATTTTTTCTATTTTTGGGTGTGACTGGGACCCTGAGTACATAATTTTGTTCCACCTCATGTACCACATGTAATGTGAATGACAATAAAGAACCTTGAACTTGAACTTGTGTTCTGTGCTGAGCTCTGCTGTGGTTGTGCTGCTCCAGGACTCTTGTCGTTTGGAGTGAAGGAATCGGCCTGGGTCAACAAGGTCTTCACTGCCATCAACGTGCTGGTCCTCTTGTTCGTTATTATCTCTGGATTTGTCAAAGGAGACACATACAACTGGAAGATAAGTGAAGAATCCCTTATCAACGTCACCATAGTCACAAGGTAATCTAATCACAATAAGATTACAGTCTGCACAGCTGTTCTTTCACGCACCGATCAATACTGGCGTCAATCAATGTTACAAATAAATCACGTTTCAGGAACTTGTCAGAGATGGCCAATGTGAGCAGTGATTATGGCGTTGGGGGTTTCATGCCCTACGGTTTTAGTGGAACCTTAGCTGGAGCTGCCACCTGCTTCTATGCTTTTGTGGGGTTTGATTGCATTGCAACAACAGGTGAGTTATTGGTGTGGTGGACTGTACCTGGTGTGGCTTGTCTGTGCTCTTACTTCGTAGAATAACTACATATAAACATTCATTCAACCTTTATTTATACAAGTTAGTCTCAGTGAGGACTCATTTTCAAGAGAGACCTGTTTTAGACAGACAACATATAAAGTAGGGACAACAATAATTCAACAAAAGCAATTAAAATCAAATAAAAGTAGTTATAAAAACACAAAATCAGGGTTCCATATAAACAAGATACAATACTAAAAACAAAAACATATTTGCTTAGATTTTTCTATTGACCTTATCAAATGTTTAAATTCCCTTAACTAAATCAAAGTGGACAGCTTCAGATCTTGTTGCAGGTTCCAGAAGCAGAGTAGGAAAAAGCCTTTTGGCCAAGTTCAGTCTGCACTGAGGGGACGCTGCAGGTAATGATGGCCTGAGAGCACATGCTGTAACTGCACTGACGACGTGACGTGTGGGAGGAGATGGCGGAGAAAGTACTCAAACACTGTACTTAAATAAAAGTACAAATAAACAGACAAAAATGTACTCTAGTAAAAGTAGAAGTACCACATTAACATTTTTACTTAAGTAAAAGTAATTAAGTACTTGGTTTTAAAAATACTTAAAGTATTAAAAGTAAAAGTACTTGCTGATTGTATTACCTAATGCAATGGTCTACAATATCATTAAGTGCGCACATGTTCTGTAATACATTAATAGCGTTGAGCCATTTTAATGAACAATGCTGCAGATAATACATGTTTTTATTGTGTTTACTCTGTGACACAGTTCACACTTGGACTTGTGATTCTGTGCGTCAGAACTTCAGGGATGACCTGCAGAGTTAAATGTCATTAAGCAAAATAAGAAAGAGGAATGATTATACCAATGGGATTTTTCTACCTGGATTATTGAGCATGCATCAGGATATACCTTTGATAGTTTTTATTCAACGCAAAGGAAAACCAATGTGTCATTTTAACTGCGGTAAACACATTTAAGTAAAAGTTGTCTGCCTGAAAAAAGGAGCATTAGATCTAACAAAGGAATAACACTGATCAGTTCAACTCCAGTTTGTCATCAACTCTAGTTAAAATACTGTCTAGTCAAACTTGTAATGGGTCAATATGAACAATATTTTAACTTCTCAACACCATTTTCAAAACTTTGACCCGAGTGTTGAGACATTTGGAGACATCTCTTGTCTTCTGTCCTAACATCCATGAACTGACACATTTTAATATTGGAACAAGAATTTCTTGTTCAAGTTCAGAAGAAGTTGGTTTAACTCTACTTAAATAAAGTACAGATACATGAAAAATGTACTTAAGTACAATAATGAAGTACTTGTACTTAGTTGCATCCCACCACTGAAGGTAGCAGACGAAGGAGGGATTTATAGATGAAAATGAACAAGTGTGGGAGTCTACATGTAGATAATGATGACCAACTGACTAATGAGTACAGAGTGCAGTGATGGGTCCGGTAGTTACAGCCAGTTTGGAGCCAGTGCCCCATGGTAGACAGCATCCAACATTTGCAAGGAGCTGGCGGGCGTTCATGTAAATAATGTCACCATAGTCAATGACCGGTAGGAAAGTAGCAGCTACAAGGTGTTTTCTGGCATTCAGAGTTAAGCAAGATTTATTTCTGAAAAAGAAACCCAGTTTTAATTTCAGTTTCTTTATCACGTTTTCAACATGTGGCTTAAAAGAGAGATGTAAATGGTAAATGAACTGTACTTATATAGCGCCTTTCTATCTTAATGAGATACTCAAAGCACTTTACACTACAATCTGTGCCTCATTTACCCATTCATACAGCACTCTACTAGATCTATACAAAGCTAATTGAACAAATAATTCTAAAGAGACTAATCAGAGCTTCATCACATTCATACACCGATGGGACACACATCAGAGGCTTTGAGGGGTTCAGTGTCTTGCCCAGGGACACTTCGGCATGTGATAGCTGGTGGATTCAAACCCCCAACTCTTGCATTGAAGGACGACTGCTCTAACCACTCAGCCACAGCTGCCCAGATGTGCGTAAACCAAAATTCCCAAGTATTTGTAAGAATCCACAAACTCAATTAGAACACCACGTGTGGATGAGATAGGAAGAAGAACTGCTGGCACCAACTTTCTGTTTGAAAACAACATCCCCAAGTTCAAGTTCAAGAATCTTTATTATCCCCAAGAGACAATTTGTTTCACAGTCAGTAGTCACACAAAACATCCATACTAGAAAAGACATTGAGACATTAAAATGACACGAAATCATCACTGTTTGTTGAGAAGCCTGGTCGTTACAGGGATGAATGTGTTTTTCAGTCTGTTCATTCTACATCTGGGCAGCAGATACCTGCATCCAGATGGAAGCAACCTGAACTCACCATGGAGTGGATGATCAGGATCTGCCAGAATCAGCCTGGCCTTGTTCACTGACCTCACCTTGTGTAGGTCAGTGAGGTTCTGTAGGGCTATCCCAGCTGTTTTGCAGCACATCCTGACAATCCCCGAGGTTTTTTTTTTCTGTTTTTGCACATCAAAAGTCCAAACCAACAGATGAAGGTAAAAGTTAAAAGAGAATCAATAAAACATTCTCATAAAAGTAGAATCAACATTAAACCACAGAGCTTCTGATAAAAATACATTCGCTGGTGGGCCTTTTTGCTAAGTGAGTTCACATGGGGGTCAAAGGTCAGTTTGTCATCAAGAACAGTTCCCGGATATTTATACAGTTGCACCACCTCAACAGCTTCACCGTCAATGACCAGAAGAGCGACAACTGAAGAGACTTTTCCAAAATCAATGACCATCTCCTTTGTCTTAGAAATATTTAATTTTAAAAAGGAAGACTCACATCATTTAGTGAAGTCCTCGACCACAGGTCCGGGGTCTGGTCATCACTGCTGAGAAGAGACAGGATGACAGTCATCAGCAAACTTTAAAATGTGACGATGTGGATATGGCTGCAACAATCATTTGTGTATAAAATAGATTGGAACAATAACAGAGTCTTTCCAGAGCTGTGAGACACTTAAGATTTGAAGAGACATGTTAAAAAGAAAACAGAATATATCTGATATCTGCAGGGAACAGTTTTTAAGAGTACAACCCCACTATGCTGTCAGGACCTGGACTTTTCTTTTCTTTAGTCTTATGAAAAATGTTAAATTTTTAACCGATGCCCCTTGGTTTCATAAGCATTTAGCACCAGTTTGAGATGGAACAAGTCAGACTGAATGATGTCAAATGTAGACTGTAGAAGCTGGAAAACCTTGGCAACTGTGTTAGCTCAACAAGAAACAATTGTATCGTCAGCATTGAGATGCAAGGATGCGTCAGGAGTGTTTTGACCTACATTATTTATATAAATTGTAAAAAGAGTGGGTCCTAAAACAGAGCCTTGTGACACACCATCAGTGCCCATTAAGTAGGTAGATGAACTACCTTCGTGTCAAACAAATTGCCTCCAACCTGAGATAATTAGAAAACCAACCAACAGTGCGATCTGAGAAACCAATATCTGAGAGCTTATGGCATAAAACGTCATGATCTACAGTATCAAAGGCTTTGGACGGGTCTAAGAAAAGTGCAGCACGGTAATCCTTAGAGTCCAAAGCTTCAACGACATCATAAAAAGCTTTAGCGAAGAAGATATTGTGCTGTGTTGTTTTCTGAAACCATATTGGTGGGAAGATAAAATGTTAAAATAATCCAAATACTTCTTGACTTGAGTATTTACCAGTTTTTCTAAAACCTTAGCTAAAATACTGAGTTTGGAAATCGGTTGGTGGTTGTTCAGTATAGTGGGGTCTCCGTTTTTCAGTACTGGTAGAACAAAAGCTGTTTTCCAAGCATCTGGGACGGTATTGTGTTGTATGGACAGATTAAAAGAAAAAACAAAACATGTTTGTGATCAACAGGCGAGGAAGTGAAGAACCCCCAGAAGGCCATTCCCATCGGCATCGTGTCGTCACTCACCGTGTGTTTCCTCGCCTACTTCGGTGTGTCGGCTGCTCTCACCCTGATGATGCCTTATTACCTGCTGGATGAGAAGAGTCCCCTGCCCATGGCCTTTGAGTATGTGGGGTGGGGCCCTGCCAAGTATGTTGTAGCTGTGGGGTCGCTGTGTGCCCTTTCCACCAGGTAACCCTGCGTATGTTTGAATAAGTTTACAACAGGAGCATTTATTCACGTCAACTTTAGAAAATCAAATAATTCAGATAGAATAAATATTGACTTTCATTTCTGCTTTGAATGTGTGATAATGGTGGATGAGTTTTGGTCAATATCTCTTATTGGATTGATTTGATTGGTGTTACAGCATGAGGTGGGTGCTTTGATTAATTATTGCTGAACCCCAGCATGATGCTTTTCAAACTGACTGAACAAGTTGCCTCAAATATATGTTGTTGGGATGTATTGTAATTAGGTCTTTCTTCCCTGTCGGTATGCGATACCTTTGGGTTTTTCTTAAAGGGTCTGTTCAGATCTTTTGAAGTGGGGTTCTGTGAAAAGCTTTTAAATATCTTACCTGTTGTAGATAGCTTTTTGAAGGGCCTCAGTTTGGAAAACTTGCAAATAGTTGTGACCATATATGATAAACTGGACAGAAGAACACAACAGAAGTTCAACTAAACAAAATGTGCTGTCCCCCCCACCCCCGTAAATTGGACCCTCTATTAGTTCAAGTTCATTTAAACAAATATCCGATATGTTCTATATTAAAATATAGAACTGGGAGATGAAGTTAGAGAGATCAGACTGAGATGGTTTGGACATGTCCAGAGGAGGGACAGTGGGTATACTGGTAGAAGGATGTTAGAAATGCAGCTGCCAGAAAAAAGACAAAGAGGAGAAATATGGATGAAGTTAGAGAGGACATGGAGGTGGGGTGAAGACAGAGGATGCAGAGGACAGGGTGAGATGGAGGAGGATGACTGTTGGTGGTGACCCCTGAACAGGGAAAAGCTGAAAGAAGAAGACAATCAGATAATATTTTGCATTATTGATTTATTTAATTCTGCTGAATAATTTTTGGAAACATTCAAATACAAGATGGCTCCCAAAACTCTTTAAGTATAGAAGTTAAATCGATGGCTCAAAGTCATTCAACACTAAGCTAAAGTTTAGTGTGGTAGTAGCTGAGCACAATCTCTGAAACATCCTCTGAGCCCTGACAGGTTGTGTGGGATCTGGTGGAACTAATTGTGCATGACGTTATTTTCAAATTATGACTATAAAAAGAAAAAGAAATGTCACAGTTTATGAAGACAAGATGTTTTTAGCTGTAAACTCTTCCACTGATGGCTGACAGGGCACTAGGTGAACAAGCTAAACGCTCAGTGAGCTAAGACCAAAGTGGGTTGCTGCCCTTTTAACACAACTCCAATCTCAGAAAACTGAGGTTCATGCAAACATTGTACAAACCTTTACACCACCCTAATTTACATATTTATAGTTATTTACATAGAATACTGCACGTTTATTTTGTAAGCACAGATAGCTCTTTGGTCGACGAAACGAACGACACAATGTTTCAACAAGAAGAATCCGTCCAGAGGACCAGAGTTAACCTTGTTAGATTGATCTACCTGGATTATTGAGCAGCATCAGGAAACTTTGGTCTTATAAACTGTTTGTACAAACTAACGTTGTTTGAAGAACTATGTACAACAAAAAGATAACACGTATTCAATATCTTTTCACAGAATACCTACTTTATTGCTTTAAACAAATCATTACATGTCATTCCTTCGCTCATCTTATAATCTGCATTGATTAAAAAAAAAAATGTTATCAAAGCAGATCAATGAAATGTGTCAGGGCTTGCAGTTGGACTTTACAATGCTGCTGTGTGGCCCGGATCTCTGGATAAACAACATCACCACTTTTAAAACTGCTTTAACACTTTTTTTTTTAATTGAATTAATTGTTTACGCACTTGAAGAATGTAATGATTGTAGGTGTTATTAAAGCCTGATGATGTTATTCAGGCATCAGACATCCAAACAGCCAAAGAATGACGGGGATGACATTACTGACAGGAAAGAAAGATGCTTTTTATTACTTTCATCACTCTCTGAAGCTTTGATGATGCCCCTGTCTGTTGTGTGTTTGGGGCTCTAACTAATGTGTTGGTCTTGCATGTCTCTGCTGTCTCATGCAGTCTGCTGGGCTCCATTTTCCCCATGCCTCGTGTAATCTATGCAATGGCAGAGGATGGGGTGCTTTTCAAAGCCTTAGCCCGAATCAGTCCTAAGACGAAGACCCCAATTATTGCTACTATGAGCTCCGGTGTAGTTGCAGGTGAGAGCCGGGGACAGGTGTGTGGTAACTCAACTAATGTTTATTCACCAATGAACTGTGAAAGGAACCATCAAAGGAGATGAATCAGACATTTTTTTCTAAATTAAAAGGCGTTTGAGCCCTCAATGGTATTATCTGTGTGGAGCTTTTGTCCCCGTTTATTCACAGTTGTGCAGGTGTCATGTTTTCTTCATGCACTCAGCCTAACCATGAACCTCTTCTCCATAGTCTGTTGGGCTCCATGTTCCCTCTGCCACGTATTCTCTTTGCCATGGCACGAGATGGCATTCTGTTCAAATTTATGTCCAAAGTGAGTAAGCGCCAGTCGCCAGTGGCTGCCACCCTGGCAGCAGGTACCACTGCGGGTAAGCTCCGGGACGAGGACTCGCCTATCTTTGGATTGTATTATGGACTTGTGTCTTTTCATTTCAGTGTTTTTCTGTTTACATGTGATCAGTTGGTGATGATGGCTGCATGATTTTGGTGATGGTGTTTCCCAAATTATATGAAATGATAATTACACCAGTTCAAGTTGTGTTTGTCATATGCAAGGTTAACACAAGGTCAACAGTACATTGAAATGCTCAGAATAAGAACAGATTTGACTCGCTACAAAACAAAGAACAAACAAGAAATGCTAAAGCATGCAATAAGGGTACAAAACAAAGTACCAAACAGAGTACAGTAAAGTACACAGATGTTCAAAACCAGCCTTGGCTTAAACATATTCATCACATAGGTCCACATGTTCAACAGGCATTAAAATGTTTTCAACGATAACACAAGAGGGAAAAACATTTTAAAAGTAACCAACATTCTGAATTGTACTAGTTCAAACAAAATGATATCATCAGTCTTCAATGGTGACTGAAAAACAACATGCATGTTTATGCCATCATCACATTTGTTACATAAAAAACTTCAAATATTTATCTTTGCATCAAGACATTTTACTGTTAGCTGAAATTTAGGTCTACTGAAAAGATTGTTTCTGCATCGTTTTCTTTTTCAACAAGGCCCTTTTAGATTGTATTTACAGTATGTCACTTTCTACTGCTTTAAACCATCAGTTCACAAACCTGTTAGAAAGTTATGTTAGTTTTGGTTGATTTGATACTTGTTAACACACAAACCAGCCACTAAGCAGCACAAGTCAGCATACCTATAGTGCCAGTCCCAAGCCTGGATAAATGGTGAGGATCTGTCAGGAACTGAATCCACCATAAAACATGTTTTTCAAAACAGTTATGTGAGACTATCCAAGCAACACCTCACCAGATCAGTTGAGGCCCGGGGGTTAACAACGACCGCCACCAATACTGTTGACAAACAGCAAATTATGCTACTGTTAGTCAAAGACCACGAAGAGGGAACATGTCAGGAGACAGTTTGAAAAGAGGAAAGTCAAGAATGTAGGATACTACATCCATTTAGGTGGAAACTCTAAATGTAGGGACAATGACAGGCAAAGGTAGAGCTGGCTGACATGATGCAGAGAAGGAAGGGAGATGTTTTATGTGTCCAAGAGATCAAGTGGAAGGACAGAAAGGCTCACAGCATTGGAGCATGGTTCAAACTGTTTTACCATGATATGAATAGAAAGAGAAATGGAGTAGGGGTGTTCCTGAAGGAGGAGTAGGCAAATAATGTATTAGAGGTGAAAAGAGTATCAGATAGGGTGATGTGTCTGAAGGTAGAAGTAGATTTGATAATAAACGGTGTGGTGCTCCACAGGTTGGATGTGATGTGGAGGAGAAATATACATTTTGGAAAGATCTGGATGAAGTGATAAAAAGTATTCCTGAGGAAAGTGTGGTGATCAGAGCAGACTTGAATGGACATGTTGGTGAAGGAAACAGAGGGGATGAGGAAGTGATTGGTAGGTTTGGTGTCAAGGAAAGAAACCAGGAAAGACAGATGGTGGTGGATTTCACCAAAAGAATGGAAATGGCTGTAGTCAACTCTTGTTTCCAAAAGGAGAAGGAAAGTGACCTATAAGAGTGGATGAAGGAGTACGCAGGTCGACTACTTTCTATGTAGAAGAGGAAACCTGAGGGAGACTGGAGACTGTAAGATTGTGGCAGAGGACAGCGTGGCCAGACAGCATCGGATGGTTGTGTGTAGAATGACTGTTGTTGTGAAGAAGAGAAAAGTGTTAATATCAGAGAAGACCAAATGGTGGAAGCTGAAGAAAGAAGAATGTTGTGAGAACTTCAGAGAGGAGCTGTTAAAGGCTCTGGGTGGTCCGAAAGAGCTTCCAAATAATGACTGGGCTACTACAGCAACAGTAATTAGAGAGACAGGTAGGAACGTACTTGGTGTGTCATCTGGACAGAGAATGGATGATAAGGAAAACTGGTGGTGGAATAATGAAGTGCAGGATGCCGTTCAAAGAAAGAAGTTAGCCAAGAAGAAATGACAATGAGAGGACTGAAGAGAGGAGACAGAAATATAAAGAGATGGCACATAGAGCAAAGAGGGAGGTAGCTAAGGCAAAGCGGAAGGTTTATGATATGATAGGCTGGATGCTAAGGGAGGCATGAATGACTTGTATTGACTGGCAAGACAGAGGGATCAGGCTGGAAAGGATGTGAAAATGTTGTTTTTTGAAGATAGAAATGGCAATAGTCTAACAAGTTCGAAAACTGTAATGAGGAAATGGAAGAAGTGTTTGAAGTGCTAGTAAATGAAGAGAGAAAGCGAAAAAAATAGAAGTAATTGAAATGCCACTTTGATTGTTGATATGTGCTGCTGATTATCCATGCTGCTGATCTCATATTGCTGATTATTTCATACTGCTGTATTCATTCATACTCATCTACTCACACAGACTCATGTTTGTGCAGCTGTTGTTCAGCATGTTGTTTTGCACTGTTAATGTTTAGCATATTCTTAGTTTATATCTTAGATCCTTATTACTGTTTCTTTTACAATTTATATTTTTGCTGTTGTTGGATGTAACTGGGACCCTGTGTACACCATTTCATTCCACCTCATGTACCACATGTGGTGCGAACAACAATAAAGAAACTTGAACCTTGAACCTTGAAACTATGGACCAGAAAATATGAAGGATTAATGAAGATGAAGTTCATATGGCTTTGAAGAAGATGAACAGGTGGAAGAGAACTTAGAGAGGTGGAGGTATGCACGTGAAAGAAAAGGAATGAAAGTCAGCTGTAGTAAGACAGAGTATGTGTGTTATGAGAGGGAGGCTAGTGGAACAGTGAGGCTACAAAGAGCAGATGTCACAAAGGTGCAGGACTTCAGGTACTGGGGGTTCACTGTCCAGGAAAATGGGGAATGTGGTAAAGAAGTGAAAAAGAGAGTCCAGGCAGGATGGAGTGGATGGAGAAAAGTTTCAGAAGTGATTTGTCACAAAAGGTTGTCAGCAAAGGTCAAAGGAAAAGACTACAAGACAGATGTGAAACCAGCTATGTTATATGGTCTGGAGACAGAGACATGGACAAAAAGGCGGTAGACAGAACAGGAAGTAGCTGATATGAAGATGTTGAGGTTCTCGTTAGGAGTGACAAGGATGGATAAGATTAGGAATGAGATAATCAGAGGTACAACACAGGCTGAACAACTGGGAGATAAAGTTGGAGAGACCAGACTGAGATGGCTTGGACATGTCCAGAGGAGGGACAGTGGGTATATTGGTAGAAGGATGGTAGAAATGCAGCTGCCAGGAAAAAGACAAAGAGGAGAAATATGGATACAGTTAGAGAGGACATGGAGGTAGCTGGAGTGAAGACAGAGGATACAGAGGATAGAGATGGAGGAGGATGACTCGCTGTGGTGACCCCCTTGAATCTATCATGTATAACATTATATCATCAGCAAAGTCTCAAAGAGCAAAAGGCTTGGCCTGTTTTGCTTGAAGAGTATGTGGTAGCTAACATGTGTTCCACATTTTTAGATTCATATTTTTATAAAAGATCATATATTTTTCTTTGTTCTTATCGTAGCCTGTGGTATAGTTAGAATATTTGACTGTAAAACGAAAATTTTCACTTGTTGAGCGTAGCTTTAGACATTAACATTTGGCTAAAAATGCTAGATCTAGAAATTATTCCCAGTATTTTGTTTAAACATCCCTGTTAAATTTTTGCAAAATAAATGTTTAGGTGTAATTCATTTAAAATAGAGACATCCTGAGTCATTCTCAGTTGGTGGTTCTAATCAGTTTTTCATTGACTGGCCCTAATTCTAATCTCTGCTGCTAGTGTTCTGTCTTTAACTTGATTTCAGCTGTGCTGTGATACTTCTGTTGTTTGGATGAGAACTCAGAGATGTTCTACTCTAGTTTTTATTTTGTAATTTAGTTGATCTCAGTTTCATTTATCCTTGTGGTTTATGTTGTATTTTTTTATCCCTTGTATTTTGGTTCAGCTCTGTTTTCTTGCCAGGTCTCATTTTTACCGTCAGTCTCCTCAGTTGTTCTTCAGTCAGTTAGCAGTTAGTAAAGACCTCTGTCCACTCACCCTCCATTGTATTTAAACCATTTCTAATCACCACTCTAACAGAGGTTCACCTGCCAGATGTCTCTGTCCTCCCCAGTGTTTTGTGACATGAGTTTTAGTTTAGCTGAGCTCCTCATGTCATCCTGCCTCTGGGTCTAATCTCTTTATAGACCATGATAAGAGACAAGCTCAAAAAACTGTGTCACACAAATGTGTATAGGGTTGATATTAGATTTTTTTTCTTTCACACCAATAGGAAAGAAAGAGTTGTGTTTTTGGTCTGAAAAGTGGTATGAAAGTTTGGCTAACCACGATCCTTGGCTGGAGGAAGACCTGCCTTTTTTCTTCTTATGTTATGTTACTGTATTAACAACTGACGGCTCAAATTTTATTAAAAAAAAAAATCTTTTTAATTATTTTGTCTGTGCAAATGTTTTTATTTTATTTGAGGACTAGACTGACATGATCAAAAGGCTTCTTCTGGCCTTTGGGCTACGTTCTGTTTCGAGGCCTCCATGCTCAGTAGTAAACGTGTACTCAAACGTTTGGGCTGACACTTAATCGGTGAATTAACTGATCAAGTAGCCACCAGGAGGTGGAGTCATAGAACATCACCTCCAAAAGCCTTTCCTCATATTTTCTGGGTGTTCTGTGTCTGATCTGTGCTGCTGAGCTCAGCTCCCTGCTGCATCCTTCTGGTGAGGTACCAGTCAGATACCACAGTATCAGTCGGATACCACAGTACCAGTCAGATACCACAGTATCAGTCAAACACCACAATACCAGTCAGATACCACAATACCAATTAGATATCACAGTATCAGTCAGATACCACAGTACCAGTCAGATATCACAGTATCAGTCAGATGCCACAGTAACAGTCAGAAATCACAGTATCA